TTGATTAAGATATCTCAATGGCATTCAGGTTGCAATTAGAGCTCCCACCACATTATGGCATTTGCTACACATACCATCTGTTTTCCCTGTATCAGTGAACCGTATAGCAGATCTGAACTTATAATTAAAGAAAGGCTTTTAAAGAAGAGGTTGGTCTATTTTCGAGGCAAAGTTGTGGTGAAAATTAGGTCCAGCAGCAGAAAGTCGACACACTCCCAATTGATAAGGTCTTATACTTATGACCTGGGCTCAAGATGTTCATATCTGCTCTTAGGCAGAAGAGATAGAGTTTCTTCAATGTCAAGCATTAATGCAAGAATACCTGAGGTGGCTCTTAAATATTATCTACTTCTAATTTCTTCCTCCTTAGTTCTTTAATAATCATAAAGGTTATTTTATTATTCCTTTTCATTCTACATATTCTTGTTTTCTATTTCATTATTTGTTCAATTTTCATGTAGGCAAAAGAGGCATTTGAATTTATGGTACAAGCTATGTCAAATTCTCTGAATGAATGGAACCGGTTACAGTTGATGAAAGTAGCTGGTGTATTGGCGTGCATGTTTTTTATTATTCCATCAGCTGGTGCTGTTGATGCTCTCAAAACATGTACTCGCTTATTGAGGGAGTGCAGGTACTCTATCCTAAATGGCTAAACCGTGTCATGTATTTAGTAATTGACACCAACTTCAAAAGAGAACTAAGTAGAACTAAATCTTATTTCAACCAACTTCAGAACTAATCTTATTTAAACTTTGGAATCCTTATTCTATTTGCTTGTACTTTTGCAGATTAAATGTGGAAACTTGTTTGAAAATAGAGTTGGAATGGTCTGCAAGCTGAAGTTGAGAGAGAGAGTTCTAAAATTTCAGAATTCTCATTAACTCAAATATGTTTCGAAGTGCTGGTGCTCATACTAAATGTTGTGGTTTGGCTTACAGGAGGAATGGATGGTGGGAATGGTAGCTTGATTGGCGTATTTGTTTTGGAGTTTGTTTGATGGGAGATTGATTATATTGGGAGTGTTTGTGATGTCTGATTGGTTGTAATGTTTTTCGGCCTTCCCCATGCATCCAGTCAGTCAGTCAATCACCATATCCACCTGAATATGCTCACCACCTGCTCAAGCATTTTCCAAAACCAAAACCAAAACCAAAACCAAAACCAAGGAATAAGCAAGCAAGCAAGCAGCTCCTAGCACATGTGCGTCTCCTCCCAGCGCCCCAAACCACATTTCTTGGCCTTGCCCAACCTACATTTCACCAACCTAACACCGCTAGCACCCCTGCAACCACCTGCAGCCATTACCTACCACACACTACCCCCTTTTTATGTCTACTGCAGTCACTTCCTAGCCATCACCCACCACCACACACTGCCCCCCTTTACTGCAGTCTCTTCCCCAAGCCACACTGCCCTCCCTGCGCCCTAACCACCTTTCTTGGCCTTGCCCAACCCAGATTTCACCAACCTAACACCTCCAGCACCCCTGCAACCACCCGCAACCATCAAGAATATCACATAAATTGATTGTTCAGAATCAAGAAGTCAGTTCATCATACTCAACTTGTTTAAAGAGAACCATATTTTTTCAACTCACTGATGTAATTTATTGCTTCTAATTTAGGTTTTCAAATGCTTCAAGGTTTAGATGTTCTGTCCCCAATGTTATGTTGTGGGGTCATGTTTTGTTTTGGTAAAAATATTGTACAAGAAATGGCTAATACCAGCAATTGTATTAATAAAGTGTTTTTTTGCTTATAGTAAATCTTGCATCTTTTAAATTGATGCCTTGCATGTACAAAATATTATACAAGAACAAAATATATTGTTCATGATACAAGGGTAAGAAACTATGCATAATATATGATATAAGAAAAAAATATTATCCAAGAACAGTATGATATCTTTAGCTTGGATTATAAACGAACAAAAATAAATTATATAATACAACTTTACGATATAACATCTTCAAACTGTCTGTTCTTTTTCACCATGGTCTTCACCCATGGCAAGTGTAACAACCACCATAACAATACAATAAAAATAGCAAAACTTGAAATAGCTACCACAACAACATCAGTTTATTACAACAAAACCTCTAGTAAATGCTTAATCTAACAACTGTAATTGTGCAGTGCCCTATTTCTACTCTTTTCTAGAAGGCACCAAAATAGAATGTATTCTTACTATAGCTGATGAATTCAGAGGTTTAATTTCACTTGGTTGACTCTGATTATTTAAGCCTTTTTTCCTCCAACAATGTCAAACCCCTCAACTTCATTTGATGATAAGAACTAGAGGAGTGATGGAATTTCTTCAGGGGAATTCTGCTTTGCATGATCCATGAATTTGTTGTTCTCTATTACCATTCAAAAACCACCTGAAACACATAAAATGTTACTTAAAAAACTCTCTCAAGTCCCGTTATGTGTGATCAACTATATGAAAAGCATTTAAAGAAATAGTAAGATACTCAAAAACTGTCGACCACTAATTTGGAATTAAGGAAACATCATTTAATAAACTTTATCAGCCAACTAATCTCTGCCATAACTGCTTCAAGGAAAAAAATTCTAAACATGGCTACAGCAGCACAAAATGTGCATCTCATGTTGTCTAAAGAAAATTTTCAAGCGTAGACAAGAAGGTGGTTCAAGATTTCCACAAGTAGTTACCATGATTCATATCCATATAACCACACCAGCTGCAAGAGGAACCCCCAAGTCGTCCTTAGTTCTGCACAAATTGGTTTTACAAAGCATTGTTTTCCAAAAGAAGTTCCAGCATTTGATGGAACCAAGGATTGATTCAATTGACGAACAGAACTGATCCATGGAGCTGTAAACCAAAAAGAAAAATGAAAAAAAAAAAAACACTGCAGTTAATTGAAACAATCACAAACCCAGAAAACAAGTTCAAACATTGCATTGGTGGGTGATCTTCGATGGGGATGATAGGGGTTTTGTTAGGGCAGGCCAGTGAGGTGAAATGTGGCATCGGGGTAGATTTCCGATGCCGAAATCGATCGAAAATTGGTTTGAAGAGTGCGAACCTTGGATGAGCGGCGACCCGTGATTGGTGGATGATCTTCGGTGGGGATGATAGGGGTTTTGGTCAAGGGAGGCCGGTGAAGTGAAAGGTGGTGCCGGAGTTTATTTTTGGTGCTGGAGTGGTGGTTGGCGATTTAGGGGAGAAGGAGAAATTTGTAAGCGGGAATTTTTTTAGGGAATTTTTTTTTTAAAAACTATCTGGCGTGGCAGATGAATTGGCATCACCACGTCAGACGCCAGGTCATGTTATAGGCTGGTTAGTAAAAACCAGTAGTATGCATAGTATTTCTGCTGTGCGAAATGGCAAGATGGTAAAAAAAATAGTTATAAGTGGAGACAGAATTGTGACAAAAATATCCTTTACAATTTAAATTAAAAGTTAATTTTGATCTTTCAATTTTTAATAAAAAACACTAATGTTTTTCCCCCTCGCATTATTATTTTTTTTTTTTTTNCTTATTCAAACTACACTTTAGGAGATTGCTATTTTAATGGAGCATTGATATGCATTTTTTTAGTGTTACATCTCAAGCTTTGTGTTTTTAAGTAATGCGATGTGGTGTTTAAATTTTCAACCATAACTGATGTGGTATTATCTCAGGGATATGCCCAATGAATCACATATCTACTTTACTTCTAAAATAATGTTTGATATAAACCTCAAAACGCTGAAATACATAAAATTACTTTGATCTAATAAATAAATTTCACGAAGTTTCTCCCTATCGTTTCACTTTATAAAAGAATCTCTTGCATGGTACAGAACGAATTTTCTATTAATTGGCTAAAATGAGAATAGTTTAGATGAGAAAGGCAAAGTCAAACTAAAATATTTAAATTTTGTAACCATTTATCAACTAACGGACCAAAAACCAAGTGTAATTATTTAGGGATCTTATCATTCATTTTTTAATTTGTGTTCACTAATTATAATTTACTTAAAAACAATATCCGGTATAATCATAAGGTGTTGTCCAACTGATAATTGGACTTCAAGTAAGACAAACTATACTTACAATATCATCAAATTGTACTGAAAGTACTTTGTAATTAGAGGTACCAATAATGGTACGACATCGAGATTTTTGTATCGAAATATTGTACTGGCCTACGTATAACACGCCTCTGATTTTTTTAACAATTTTTTTTCTAGTAAACGGCCGTCCATCAAATTTGGACAGCCGTTCACTCACATGGATATCCGTCCATATTATATGGACGGGGGTCCATATCCCAGGGACGGACGTCCCCAATTAAAGGACGTTCGTCCATAAGTAAAATAGAATAATTTTTTTTTATAAAAATTAGGGACGACCATCCCTTCATTTTGGACGGCCGTCCCTTATTCAAAATATGAAAATAAAAAAAGAAAAAAAATTGGGAACAGCCGTCCAAACATTTTGGATGGCCGTCCCTTAAGTTTGGACGAGACGGGCGTCCTTACTTAAAAAAAAATAAAAACATTCTAAACACCTTTCTTCTTCGATCTTCTTCTTCGTCTTCATTCCCCGTCTCCTCTCTTTTTCTTCGTCTTCATTCCCCCAGCCTCACCTTCTTGATAAATATGAAAAAAAACACAGTGAATTCATAAACAAAGCCATAGGTAAATGCAAGTAATAAATATCTCGTGGGAACTAATAATTTTTAACGGTGACTGTGATGAACAGAAGAATATAGTTATCAAGCTTAATTGAGCAAAATCATCTTCGCCAACAGCACCAAATGGTATGATTTTGGCTTCATACAATGGACCTCCTTCATACCATGGGTACATGAACTTTCCAAGCACGATTCAGCCTAGAGCAAAGGGGATTTTCTAATTTTATCTCAACCTCCATACCATTGTATCTAGTGCATGTTGTGCCTACTTATTGCAATTTTAAGTTCAGTTCCAGTCGAGAGATGAAAGAGGTCNAATAAATAAAGAACCAACAATCCTGATCCAGATGAACATCACAACATGAGCTACAAGGATATATTTGGCATCATAATGAAACTATGAGTTATGGCCTTAACATGTAGACTTTTGCTAACAGTACAGTCACTGGAAGAAGGAAAATTTACAATCACATGACATAAAACCTGGCTGTCAAGAATAATCTGACTAATTCTATTTAGCGCATGGAAAATAAATGGTCATGGAAGTTGCAGTACACTCAAAAAAAAAGATAGCAATCTGGTGACAAAAATCATCATTTGTGTGCATCTAGGTTATACATAAATTCAACTACAAAACATAGCATCACATACCTGGCTGTCTATGGCAAAGTATTCCAAATTCATCTGCATATTTCTCAACCAAATGAAAAAAGAAAATATCAGTATGCAAAAATAAGTTAGAAACCAACAATGGAAGAAGAGAAGGAAAGCAACTAATGGACAAATTTATGTTGCTTATGCACCACAATCAATCTGAAGAAAGTATAAGTTTTAAAAAGCAAAAGACCCAACCTCTCTCAGAGCACCTATGCGAGTTAAAACTTTTGTATCCTTCCTGATGTGAGTAAACAATTCTCTTGAAATAGGCGAACTAAAGAAAACAAACGCCCTTCCAACAAAGAATAAAACTTATTCAATAAAAAAGAACGTTCGAACTTCTAAAACAAACACACAAAAACAATTTAGGATAGTACATAAATTCTTTCACATACTTTTTATATAAAGGCGATTTTCCAGACATGTCCGACAGGAACAATAGAACACTGCCAAAAAAAAGAAAGAAATAAGCCGGTGTACAGAGAAAGAAAGAAAGAGAGAGCTATCATCCATGTGCCTATTCTATAGAAACACATATCTATCATTTCAATTATTTCTTCAAAAAGGATGCAACTGTGACAAAACAACATGGATACAGCTGATTTTAATCCATTTGGTTAACTAGCTGTAAAATGGTTAAATGCAGACAAAACTAGTAAATAAGATTCAGAAAATGAAATAGAAGAAATGAAAGAATATAAGTCAATGCATGGAAGAAGTAATTATATGGATCAATTAATTCCTAACAGCACAAACAAGACATCAAAAGGGCTAAACTCATTGGTCATTATACCAATGCCAAATATGAATGGTTCAAAAAAAAAAAAAAAAGAGAGAGAGAGAGGGATATTCAAAGAAGATAAAAAAAAAAGCAAAACCCAATAATTACTTCTCTTTGGTTGGCTGGATAAAGTATATAGCATCCATAGAGGGCAATGGCTGTCTCCGTCTGTTTATATCTTCTACCACTGCACGAAACAAAGAAAAAAATCGAACTTTTTCTTGTTTCCCATGAAAAAAATAAATTTAAATAGATAAATACACCCCCACCATTATCCCAACACCTAAGCATAAAATTTAAGTGAACAAAAATGGAATGCAACAATCTCCCATCTGTTTGGAAACTTTATAATTGCATAATAAAAAATAGAAATGATTAATAATTGATTCCTACATGAAACTCCTTCTTGTGTGATGTCAGCCATCTTGCATGAGTAAGACATAACCTTAACTGTAAGTTTGTCCATTATCAGTACCTGCAGATAATGTAAGTAACCTAAATTACTTGTAAAACCCTCTAATCCTTTTAACATAACAAAAATCAAATCAAACACAAGTTAAATTAAAGAAACACGATCACCTTCCAGGTTGATTTTGAGCTCCCTGTTTTCGCGGACCCAAGCATTTCATGCAATAATCCTAAACTCCAATTTAAATTAAAATAATAAAAAATACGAAAATGAGTTCAATAACAGAAATGCTCGATTTTACAATACATTATGAATGAATAAAGAGAAAAAGAGAGAGAGAAAGAACTTACTGTCACGGGTGATTTGCCTGAAATTTTTGTACTCGGGACCACTGTATGATGAGGAATCAGAATCCGAATTCGACATAACTGAGATTGTAAGAATTGATGTTGAAGGTGAAGAGATGGTTTTATGAACGTCGAGAAGGAGAAGAGAATTTACAAATGAGAGAAACAAAAACAGAGTAGCGAAAAGTCAATTTTAAAATACGGAATTTTCTTTCGTTTAGGAGAAGGATTTTCCAGGAAAATTTCAGTCATTCTAGAACTTCAACTTCACATTAAGGAAAGAATCTAGAAATGCGTTTTAACTCATTTTTGTTTTCAATTTTTAAATCCTATTAGTTTCGGGTTCGGTTCACATTTGGGATTATAACAATTACATCCCCAACCCCAATATCCGACAGACAGAAAAAGACTAGACTACCCTTCATATTGTTATTAATCATTTAACTAAATTTTATTTAAAAATATAAATTTATCTATTTAATATATTAATAGAAGGGAAAAAAATTAGGGTATTTATAATTCAATAATGTTAGGTTCACAACCGTCTCTCACAATTTTTAACATGATAATTCGTCATTAGTTAGTTCGTATATATGTAGGCATGATTAATACAAATAAATAGTATTTATTTTACAAACTGACTAGATTTTTTGTCATTTTAAAAATTGTGAGAGAAATTTTTAAAATTAGGTTATAAACTTAGTTCTATTCTTTATAGTTTTATGAAATTTTATTATCTTTGATTTTATATTTGATGCGAGTTGTCTGTGAAATATTTGGGATATTTGTTACTTTCCAATGCCCTCAGAGGTCATTAAAAATCCCTTATACGTGAAACCTGAATTTGCAAAGTTGTTTTCACATGTGATCTTTAAATTTAATTTAACAATTCTTCTACGGACTGTGCGTATCGTAATTCGTAACCACTCTGCCATGTGGCAACCATGGAACAGCCTAATCTTGCAATCCATACCATTGTCCCAAAAATTGGATAAAACAATAATATGATTTATTTAGACTGATTTTTTAAAATAAAATTATGATTTTAAAAAATACCAATTATAAACTCTAATGTTAAAAAGTTTCAAGTTATACTAATTCCAATTTTGATGTTTAAAGTTTCAAATATAATATAGTAAATTTCAAGTATATTGTTTTAAATTATAGATTTTTTTTTTTTTAATGATTAGGGTATTTAGGTCAGCCTACACACACCTCAACTAATCTTTGGAGCTCATTGAACACCTTAGGCTGCGTTTGTTTTCCTATCCTATTTCTATCCTACCTAAAATACATGTTTGTTTCCCTATTCTTAAAATCAGATCATATTCTATTCAACTTTTTTTAAACTCCTTAGGTTTGTTAATTTAGTTAAATACCCCCTATAATAAAACATCAAAAATTAACAAAAAAACCCTTCAGCCACCCTCCGGTGGTGGTGACCGGCTGCCGACATTTAATGGGTGGGTGGAGGTGTTTTTGTTAATTTTAAATGTTTTATTTTTAGGGGTGTTTAAGTAAATTAACAAACCTATTGGGTGTTTTTGTTACTCTTCAAATCTTATCCTCGTAATAACAACTCAACTCAACTTTTTCAAAAATAATAAAACAAACACAGCCTTACATCGCCAATGTTCCAAGGTATGCCACAAATATAGTAGGTGACTCCAAGGTGGCTTGAACCCAATAAGTCAATATAGGGAACAAACCTTATTGACCGCCAGTTCAACCCCTTGGGGTTTTGGGTAAGTTTTAAGTTTGAGTTATAGGTTTTATATCTATTATTTTAAGTATCAAATCCAATGTTATAAGTACTAAATCCTCTATAGCTTTAATATTTAAGTTATTTATGTATGCTGTTTTAGATTTCAACTAATATCTATAGATACTAAATTGAAATTTAAAGTCTAAAGTGTGATGTTATAAGTTCTGTTGATGTTAAACTCCCACATCAGCTAGGAGACAAGGGCCTTGGTCACTTATATAGCACAAGGACACATTCACCACCCAAAGGCGCCTTTTCAAGACAAATTGTGCGAGCCTGCCAGCAGTCAAACATGTGGCCCAACGCAAACAATACCTATGGGAACCCACCTACCATGTAACTAGAGACGGCATAGCAACAATTGGCGCTAGAAGGAGGGCTCATGTTTACCTGGGCTAAGCGTGCCAATTTATACCCACGCCAAACCTTACAAGCCCCTCGTCTAGGGATTGTGTTGATATCAAACTCCCACATTGGCTAGGAGACGAAGGCCTTGGTCGCTTATATATCACAAGGACACCATCACCACCCAGATGTGCCTTTTCAGGACAAAATTGTGTGGGTCTGCCAGCAATCCAACCTGTGGCCCAAAGCAGATAATATCTCTAGGAACTCACCTACCATGTGACTAGAGACGACATAACAAGAAGTTTCAAATGAAATATGTTTTAATGTTTTACATTAATAATTTCACATATATTATTTATAGTTTTAAAATCACAATAAAAGTTTCAAGCACAATATTATTAGTTTCGTTTTTTTTTTTTTTTTCATGACCGAGGATGTCCAAGCCAACTTACAATCACCTCAATTAATCCCCTAGGACCTTGGAACTACCGGTCTAGTAAAAGCTCTCGTGGTTACTTTTATTAACAACCGAAGAGGGATTTGAACTCAAGACCTCTTGAGTAATATACCCAAGAGTCCTTATCGAACCACTCGGTCACTCAGAAGTAGTTAATATTATGAGCAATGCTATACTTATAACCGAGTCATACAAAGAAACAAAAAACAAAGGACAGAGTAGTCATTTTACATAAATTTTGTGCAATTTTTGTCTATTTGTATGACTCAGTTGTAAGCGAAATATTATTGTAATATTATTAGTTTCAAACATAACATTTTTAATATCAAATCCCTCTAATTTAATATTCAATGTTAATATTGACAAGTTTTGTGTTATAGGTCTCATGTATACCTCTAGGTTGAAGTTCTATTTATAGGGTTTTGAATCAATGTTAAAAGTATCTAGTGTTCTTATTACCAAATTCCTTCAAAGTTTCTAGTTTAATTAAGGTTAATAATTACAAGTTTTATATTATAACTTTAAAGTATATTATTTTACGTTTCAAGTTATGTTTATATGTTTCAATTGCATATTAAATATTTCAATTTCAATGTAAATGGTATCATATTTTGTTGGTTTCAAGCTCAATGTTCTTTTATTTTAGGTTTTATATTTTATATTTCAATTAAATTTTTTTTTTTTATCAAGTTCATATAGTGACAAGTTTGATGTTAGAATATTCAAGTTCGAGATTTGAATATTCCTTGACAATTTCATATAATTTATTCTTTTTTCAATTGATTTTTAATTTTAATTTTTTAAAGGTAAGTAAAATAATTTTATAAATATTTAAATAAAATTTATGTTTCAATTTTCTAGTTTTTAGTATCAAACTCTTTTCATTTAAAGTTTAATGAGAAAATTTTCATATTTTATGTTAATGTTATGGTTTTTACTACAAGATTTCAATTCTATTACATGTTTCAAGTAACATGTTATTAGTTTCAATTTAAATTTTTTTGTATCAAGTTCACATAGTTTCAAGTTTGTCGTTAGCATCTTCAAGTTTTATATCGTATATTTCATTTACGTTATCTTTGGTTTCAAATACTATTAATGGATTCAATTGCATGTTAAATATTTCAAGTTTGATGTTAATAGTACCTGATTTTGTTGGTTTCAAGGTCAATGTTATTTATATAGGTTTTATATTTCAATTAATTTGTTTCAAGGTATATATATATAAAGGCCTTTTTCCACCCAAGGTTTGCCTTAATGACACTTTCCCACTTAAAAAGTTTCAAAATATCACTTTATTATCCAAAGCACAATTCCATTAGTAAATTTTGCTGTAAAGAAGTGCAGGATGCAAAAGTCTGTTATAAGTAAGGGTAGGATGGTCAATTATCCTACTCCACAAAACCCCCAGCGCCACCCAAATCAACTCAATCTCTTCATCTTCCCCATAACCTCACCTTTGCCAATGTCGCTTCTGCTGTCGTTGTTGGCCGTTTGGGTGCTATTTTCCATCGATTTCTTCACCAAATAGATAGATCTCTTCACCCACTTTATCCATTGAGCCATTCCCCAGTAAATCTGTCCAAGATTTGACCGAAATCGAACTTTTTTCCTTAAAATCCTCCACCATGCGTGACAACCAACCTAGGCCTTATCGACCCTTTTCTGGTGTCGACAACTGCCCTTGACACCACTAAAAGCACTCCTATTAGCCTCTTGAACAAAACTCATCTTTCCCCCTCTATGTTCGTCTCGCCAATTGCCATCTACATCCCATAGTTGTGGTCGTGCGATTTTTGTCAATTTTGGTCAATTCCTTCACCAGAAACCACCCTCGTCACCACCATTCTTCTTAGCGGCACCCCTTCTCCAAAACCTCCAATAACCTAGACACTATTCACTCACTGATCGTCGTCCTCCTCTCTAAGGTTTGTTTCTTCACGAAATTGGCTTTTTTGCTCGTTTGATGAAATTAGGGCAATTTGGAGGTTGATTCTTGAAATTGGAAGTTGTAGAAGTGTTCTCTATGTGTGGATTTGATTTTTCTGGGCACCGGTGACCCCCCATCGTTGGATTTCTGAAGCTTTAAGCCATGCCCACCAATTGCTCGACAAAAGTCCCAGGCCAATTTCTAGTAGCCCACACTTATGTGCGCCACACCTCAGCGCCTACCTGTGCCACTACCTTGTGCGCATGCCAGTGACACACCACCCCCCCCCCCCCCCCCCCCCAAAAAAAAAAAAATCGTCAGATTTTGGAAAGTTATTGTGTTTGTTTTGACTGTTGATTGGAATTGATTGAATGGTAGATTGATTGATTAAAAAAATTAGACTGGATGAACGTGGTATTGGTGGTGGCGGTGGAGTTGGTGGTGGTTCTAGCCATAATGGAAGCTAAGAAGAGAAGAAGAAGATAGAAGAGTATTTCCGTCTTCACAATAAATATCACTATATTTAACAAAAATTATTAATGGAACATAACGTTTGGTAGTAAACTGATATTTTGAAAGTTTTTTGGTGGAAAAGTGTCATTAAGGCAAACCTTGAGTGGGAAAAAGTCATATACTCTCTCTCTCTCTCTCTCTCTCTATATATATATATATATATATATAGA